GATCAGAGAGGATTTCTCTGGGCTTTAATCAGTGGAAAATCCAGATGGAATCAGTCTGTGGTGACAGAGGACAGCTGATGATTTGAATCAATTATTGATCAATAATAAGTGATTATGGTCATGTTGAAATAACACAGCCCCACCCACTGCTGTTTGTTAGACGTGAACTGAGTTAACACATCAAACCACCAGACCCTATAAAATACCTATTGGATCTGTTTTACACACCCAGCAGGAAGCTAGCTATTTTGCATCAAATATTTCTTTTTCTTTTTTTTTTTTTTTTTTTTTACATTTTGACTTTACAAGAAAAACATAATTAAAAATCTCAGATTTGTCCTGCGGAGCTCAGAGGTTTAAACTAAACTTCTTTAATAGTAAGAAAACTTTCCTCCACTCAGACAGTCACTCCATTTGTGAGTTTATGATAATTAAATGTTTATTATGAAATCACAAATATCTGCTATATTATTGGTTAAATCACAGTAATAATTTTCATAACTGTTTCTAAGCTCTTTGTGTGTTTTTCTATTTTAATCACTGAATTTTTCCACTGGCTGATATCTCAAATATTCATAAACTAAAATTAAACCTTCTGGTGAATTAAATAAATCTACTTGTCTCCATATTCTGGTTCTCTGTTAATATTCAGAGATGTTTTGAAGTTTTTTTTCTGTTTTGGTTCAGTGTTTAGTTCATTTAATATAAATAAACTGAGAGTCTCTTTAGAATCAATGCAGTTTTTCCTCTTTGGGTTGGTTGCAGGTTATTAATTATATAATATTAGTATTTTATTAGCTATTGCATACTTGTGAACTTCTGCAGCTCCAACCAGATCCCTGCTTCTGCTGCTGCAAACATGCCTGGCTCAGAAACATGATTTAAAGTTCATTTTTTTAAACCCAGAGCTGCACAGAGGAATTCACACCATTCAGTCATCATGATGTTGTGTCACATTACAGTGATAAAGCTGCTGTTTGTGTGAAAATAACTCAAATATTAAGAACATGAATACTTATACAGCCTTTGCAGGTCATCTGCTGACAGCTCTCAAAATATACAACAATCTGGATCTCAAAGAAGATTTTAATGAAGGACGATCTTCCAAAGGCTTCAGGAATGTTTTAAGCATTTTTTTTATGTATGCAGACAAAAAAACCTGCAGCACAATATTTATTGCACAAGTTGAGTGAAAGTGTGCAGTGATCCACTCAAACTTTTGACCTTGGAAAATGTGCAGCAGACGATAAACTGTTGGGATCAGAATTGTGGAAACCAAAAATGTTACCAACCTCATGGGGTGGCATTACCATTCACATCAATGATTGGCTTAAGTAATTACTAATTGTAATCAAAAATATGCTGACCTGACAGTTGTACAAAAGATGACCTTTGACACCTTGCACAAGAGGGTGAGACACAAAGGTCATGACTAAAGAAGCTGGCTGATCAGAGGTCTGAGTTCAAACACATTCAGAGGGAAGGAGAAGAAAAGATGTGGTAGAAAAAAATGGACAAGCGATCGGGATAAATGCTCCCTGGAGAGGAAACAAAATTCATTTAAAAATGTTGGGGAGATTCATAAGGAGTGAATCTCTTTTCTCTCTCAATTCATACTTTTCATGTTCATACTTTTCAGTGGGCCAACATTTTTAAAAGTAATTTTTTATTGGTCATAAGTAATATTCAAATTTTCTGAGGTACACAATTTAGGGTTTTTATTAGTTGTGAGTTATAAGCATCAACATTAAATGAAATAAACATTTGAAACATATCAGTCTGTGTCTAATGAATGAATATAATATACAAGTTTCATTTTTTAATTTGAATTACTGATTTAAATAAACCGTTTTCATAATATTCTAATTTTATGACCAGAACCTGTAGTCTGTAGTTTATCATAGATATCCTTCATTGAAATCTCCTTGTAACTAAATGTTACATTGCTCATTTGTACTAGTAAAATGGTAATTAGAGAGATCTCATATGTATTTTTCTGGTCAAAATATAGTAAGTGATATCTTAAGTAACTGTCTAGTTATAAACTCACTTCAGATATCTGGACTGTGAGAGTAGTGAAGCTGATTTGATGTTAAAACAGCCTACCATAGAGAAGGCAACTGGACAGCAGCAGTGATGCACTTTATGATGTTAAAATAAAATAAATAAATGGATAACACAACCACTGACCAGTGTGACCCGGAACTGACCAGCCGTTCAGGAAATATCCTGATGGCAAACCCACCCCTGATGTTGCTGGTTCAGGGGGAATTGACTGACAGACCAGGAATGTTAGTCAGCCATGACTCAAAAATGTCCATCATCTCTCAGCTGAGTCATTCAGATGCTTCCCAGATACATAAGGGTCCCCGTATACTCCAGCTGAACAGGCAGATATTAAACTGCAATTTACTTAAAGCTTTTTTATTCTGGAAATGTGCTCCTTGTGTCATGCACAAATGTGTCTGACAAATGCAGTGGCATAAAATTTCAGTCTGAAAGTTGCTCATTCGTATGCATGAGGCCCCTCGTCAGCAGAAACACCAAGAAATCTGACATGTTGTCCTCTGACTTCAGCTGTAGGTCAAGATGTGTGAGAAGAAGGACCTTGTTGACATCCTGGATGATTTAAGAAAAGCTGATTTCGACACCTTTAAATGGCATCTGAAGCAAGAAACCTGGAACGGCAAGGGACCCATCAAAGAAAGCAAATTGGAGGATGCAAAGATACTTGCAGTTGTGGACCTGATGGTCCAGATGTTTGAGCTCCCTGGAGCTGTGGAGGTCATGGTGAACATTTTAAAGAAGATCAACAGGAATGACCTGGTGAAGAAGCTCGAAGATCTGAGTCCTGCAGCTGCAGGTCAGTCAGAGACGGAAGAACTTCATGTCTGATTGAACTGTGTGGTCCTTCTGAACCATCTGTAACACTTATCAGCCCAAAACTGATCCATAACTTAGTTTCTAGGTTAAAATCTGGATTATGGAATTATGAATGGTTCAGTTTGAAGAAATCAAGAGGTTCATCAGACATGAAGTCCTGATGAACCTCTTGATTCTACAGATCCAGAACCAGGACTGGTTCTGGATCTGTAGACCAGACGACACTCGGAGTCATCAGAAGATTCATTCAGTAATCATCAGTTTAGAGAAGCAGCTGATCTCAGAGCAGAATGGGCTGATGGTGCTTTGGTTTGCTGCTTCTTTAAAGTTAGTATATATTATGAAAGAATGAACATTCATGTTATGGAAAGAAACTGAGGCTTTTCTTAAAATGTCCACTAATCAATTAAGTGCTACTTGGTCAAAAGATAAATCAACTTTAACTAATTTATTAACTAACAATTTGCATCCTAAAACAAAAACAAAACTGAACCAGTAAAAAAACGCAGCAGGGTTTCCTACAGAGCTGCAGTGGATTCACTAAGTCAAAGGTAATAAATTATATATGATAAAATTCCAGTTTAAAGTCGGGTGTAGAGGAAACAGCTGCTCCATTTCAGACTCTGAATTACTCCATCCAGACAGGAGAGGAAGGTTTCCACACCCAGCAACAGGTGACAACAAATTCTGCCATTCAAGCAGCTGAAGTTAATATTTCAAGGCCAAACTGACAACACTGAAAAACAGTGTGATATACTGGCTTTCTGTTCTGTTGTGTTAAAATCACCTGGGGAGGAGCGATAAACTTCACACTCCGTCACTGACAGGAAACATCAATAACAGGTTAGATTAAACAGACTGACTGCATTAATGTACCTGCTGCACCAGCTGACCTGGAAACACACAGCAGTAAATAGTAGACAAATATTCATCTGTTTGTGAAATAGACTGGAACAGCAGGAAGTTACTGAAGATACAAAACACACAGATGCACATAGGAACAGATAATGTGGAGCTGAGCATCTAAAGCTTCATAAATATGACTGGAGAATCAGTCGTCCACTTTCCATCCTCAGCTGGAAATGTTCAAAGAAAATTAAATCCAGAATGAATCTCCTTAATCTACAATTAAAAGCTAATTACCCAGCAGATTAACAGAATGGTCTGTTCCATTTGTCAAGCAAAGTGAGGTCAGTGGCAGTCAGGAAGAACTAATGGATGAAATGGTGACTGAGTTGATGCTTTGGTTGGTGAAACCATCTAAAACCTGAGCTCCAGTCACACGACTCTATCAGACAATAAGGCTTTTGTTACTCCACCATCCAACTGCTCATAAGTGCAGTGTTACTGATGCACATGGATGATGTTTTGCATTAAGCTCTTCTGGTAAATTATATATTTGATCAGATCCGTTATAACGACTGGCTCCGCTTTTTATGCCTACATCTTACATAGATTGTGGTGACATAGATCCTAAAGATTAGAGCTGCCATAGATGCTGTGAGGAACAAATGTGTCATGTCGGATTCTAATTTCTTCACCCACATGCAGAAACACAACAGAGAGCACCAGTTTTTATTGTGTGAGGTTTATTGTAAGCAAAACAGGAAGATGGCAGGTGACATGGGGGGCATGGATCTCCTCTCACGGCTGACGCCAGAATTCTGAGCACAGGAGGACAGGGAGGGTTAATTCTGGTTCAGTTTGGAATCCTCAATGCAACAAAACGGAGTCGGTGGACCTACTTGGGTTTGGAGCGGGTCCGAGCCGGGAGGGGAAAGGGCGCCTGGGGAGTCCGGGGTTGATGGTGGGAGGTGGACGGCAGAAGAGGCGGCGTCGGAGTGCGGACGGGCGGACAGGGATTCCACAGCACAGCAATCTCGGATCTCTGAGGGAGAGACACAAAGGTTCACTGAGAACTTGTCTAGACTAAATCACAAAAAAAAAAACAGAGGTGTGAACTCTGGGGCCTGTAGTACCAAACATTGGTGACACTCTGGCAGTGAAGTGACGGTGACTCCCTCCTCTTATAGGAGCTGACGAGATTGGCATCAGGTGTGTTGGGACCCGAGCTGAAGGCCAACCCGCCAGACAAAACCTCAGGCCGCCCTCTGGTGGACAAAAGATGAACAACCCCACCATCCCAAAACCCTGGATCCCCACAAAATGAGAAGAAGCTTCTTTGTTCTCTTTGTCCTCTGCTAAAGGTGAGACACATTAAAACTGCTTTTACAGCCTCTACCGTCTCTGATTCAGCTCTAAATGATAAATAAATCTGTTACATGTTATACATGTTATTTAGCATGTTTAGCATGTTCCTCATGTTGACATGCATCTACATAGTGATGCACAGTGAGAGACATCAGGTTGTAGCACTGAGTATTTATACAGCAGCAATAAAAACAAATCATGCTTTAGGACCTGACTTTACACTGGAGACACTTCATATGTTTACCTGACAAAACTGACTTTTCAGGGGATAAACAATGAAACTAGTCAAACAGGCATCACAAAACCTGATGAGTAAAAGGAACTGACAGAATATAAAAAGACTTTGCATGAATAAAATAAAATATGGTAATTTTATTTTATTCATTCAAACTGTGCTGGTAATTTTTATATCTGGCCAGATGAAGGACTTGCTCTGAATTTCATTCCAATGTCTAATATATAATTTGGTGACAAAGATCCTAAAACTTAAAGAGGAGAAGGAGACATAGTGATGATGATAAAGAGAAAGTGAAAAAATGTGTAAATAAGTCACTATTTTCATCAAAATATTCACTAATATGAATTTTATGTTTTCCTAAAGTGGTGTAGCCCATTTACTCAGAGAGCGTTAATTTTACTGTTCTTTCCCTGCAGTGAAGAAAGATGAATCAAAACCTTCAGCTGGAGCGAGGAACAAGGGAGAGGAATTCTCTGATCCAGGTGAAAAAAAAAAAGAAATGGGTAGAAATGGTCACAGAGACTAAATGTGTCTGTTGTAAGAGAATAAAAATGATTAAGTTCTGGCTCGTTATATTCTCTTGGGCTCCCGGATTCAATGATGCCCTGCATGGAAATAAAAGCCACACAGAGTTAACAATCAGTGCTCCACGTCACGCATTTTTCAGAGTTTATTCCAACATTTAAAAGTATAAAATCACATCAACAACACAGACACTTCATACACACGAAGACAGACCTTCAATTACCTGAGACAAATAGGATAAGGAAAAAAATGCCAAGGCAGGAATAAAGGCAGAGTGTTCATGCGTTTTTGCAAAAGCAATCCGATTCTTTCCCCTGGGGGTGCATAGTTTTATCTAAAAGGGGTTTCCTTGGTTTTTAAATTTATCCAATTATGCAATCAAGGCGTGAACCCTCCATATATGTATATACCCAGCTTTGAGTTACTCAGTTAAACAGTTCGAAGCAATTTTATCACGACCATCAGCTATGTTTCCTTTCAGAACTGAGACTTCTCTCTATGTAGACAAGTAAGACCAAAAGTTATTTCGAACAAGAGTTCATCATGTATGTTTTGAAGCCTGGATTTTCTCAAGTTCTCCAATTGAACAAAATATTCTTGTTTTTAACCAGAGTTCACCAAAAAGTTATTTTGCTTTATTGCCTCGCCGAGCAGCCATCCAAACTCAGGTCTTTGCATTAAATTCAATCGTACCATTAGGAGCCTGGGACAAAGTAATTCAGAACTTCTCCATCTTCTCAAATCAAAGTACCGATTTAAAGAATTACAACACTTATAGAATATACCTGAGCATTTTCAATAGAAACACATTTATTCTGAACATTTCTTAATTAATGTTCCCTTAGGTTTGATTATCTGTTTAATCTTATAGTTTAGCCTAAGTTAGACACTAATAGTAATTGTTAATAGAAAACTACAAATTAAACTATTCCTAATCAACACATGCTGTTAATAACTATATCCTGCAAATTAGATCCCAATTATAAGTATTGTGTGTTATTATCTTTCTCCAGCTTTCCAGCCCTGAACCATGTCTCTTGTGTTACTGCTTGCCTGGGAGACACTGGAGACCTGGAAAGTTAAATTTACGGCCCTGCTTCTCTCTAACAACAAACAGTCTCCCCTGCAGGCCCCAACTCTTGTCTGTTTTATATAAGTTCAGAAAATACTTACTTACCTAAATACTTAGTTATTTAGGTTACATCTTTAACACAAACCTACCTAAATTAAGATTAGCTATTTTAAACACTAAGAATATTCAATTTTCCTCAACACTGTATAGACTTTGTTGTTCCACCCTCCGAATGCTCGTTCATGTTGAAGGGTCTGAGAGCTGTCCAAATTCAATGAAATATTTTACCCATAATTCATCACTGCATGTGACATTTTGAGTTAAAAGGTGGAACTATGGTAATGTTTTATTTATGTATTTTTCATTGTTATTGAACATTCAAAGAAAATATAATAAGGCAAAAATAAAAATGTTTGATATGATAAACTTAGAAAAAAGAAGAAATGAAAATGAATAGAAACTAAGGAAAGTAAAACAAAAACATTTAGATTTTTGTTTACATTTTGTAAAACAGGATGTTACAAATGCAAGACAAATTTCAAATCTTAACTCAACATATTGGTATAAAGATTGGGCTTTTTGTGATGTTGCAACATTTAAGCACTCTCTTAAATAAAATTATTTCACTTTAAAAATGGAGGTGATTTTTACAAAGCGGTGTTTGTGAATAAAAACTTAACCAGAGGATTACATTAAGATCATAATTTAACTCTTTATCCCATGTTAGGCCAAGTTTTATTATATTAAAACCTAAAGATGGGATAGATTTCTTGTATAAGAACCAGTTTTCAAAATCTTTTTAATGAAGATGCAATTGAAAACAGGTTTATTGTCTCAAAGACAAAATGCACAGGAACTGATATTTATTTTTAATTTATTTTGCAGAAAGTCATTACAGGGAACACGTCATCCATAATTATTAAGTTTTTGTGGGAATGGAAAAGATAAATTTCTTTAGAGATCATCATGATTTTTAAGTGAATGTTTTCTTTTCTGACTAGAGGGGAAGAAAACTGATGTCATAGTCCTTGATGAGTTTGTGACCTGAGTCTGATTCGACATCTTCCTTATTAGAAGAAATAATAAGGATGACGCTTTAGTAAGCATCTGAACACCACCACACTTAATAAGCGGGGAGTAGACAGAATCAGTGGTCGTCACTCAGATATGAGGCAGAAACACAACAACAGGTTTAGACCTGAGGATCAACAGACTCTGAATCTCTGGATGGAGAAACATGAATAGTTGATCTTCATCACGTTTTTCTCTCAGACGTCGATTTGAATTCATGTTGTTTCTGATTTCTGTCTGCAGAGGAAAAACTTTTCAAGGTTCGCCCTGAGTTTGTGGACAGAGTTTCTGAGGAAATCCTGATTCAGCTCCTTGATGGCCTGGAGGCAGATGGGGTCTTTAATTGTTCAGAGAAAGAAGGTATGCTTCAAAAGAACCAAACCAGAGCAAACAAGGCCCGGGAGACCATCAATGCTGTGATGAAGAAAGGACAGATATCCTGCAGACTGATGATCAAACATCTTCATCTCATAGATCCTACTCTGTCCAATCAGCTGGGTTTGTCTTCTAACTGATGTTAGAAATAAATAATTCTGTGTTTGAAGATGCTATATCTCTTTTAGCTGCCTGCATGCTCATATATACACACATGTATGCTCATATATAGACAGATAAGGTTAAAGGAAATGACACAGTAGGGAACGCCTTCTTTAGGGGGTAGCTTAGATAGAGGCCAACAAAAGGAATAAGATACTGGTGTTTGGTGCCATTTTGCTGTGTTTTCCCACCAGAAAAACATGATGGACCAGTCCTGCATTTTGTATTAATAAATGGAATTCATGAATTCAACTTACCGACTCTTCTTGAATCTTATACATTCCTAACCTAGCTGGAGAAAGGATATTTCTCCACAAATGGAAGCACTGCTGAGATGTATGGAAAACAGTGATTTGAAAAATGGAGACGCCAGAGTATGGGTAAACCCACAAAAACAAAAAGTAGATAGAAACTTTTAATTGTGTAATTGAATGTAACCAAATCAAAAGAGTTGCCGTCTGAGTTGTTTTGCTCCCAAATTGAAGGGTGCAGTGTAACTTTATGGTGAAATAAAGGATTTAAAAAAAAGATAAAAAGGTGTGCCTGGAATTTGCAGTCCTGTACCCGACAAACCTGACGAGGTATCTGTGAGCTATTACACTCAGTGTGGAGTTGGACCCTCAAGTTCATAGAAAAGATTTAAAAGTCTCTGTTTTATTGAGTTTTTGGGAACACCTACACTGATTATTTGGGATGTGGACCCAAGGGGATGCTGGCCACAGCCAGTGGAAAGGAATGCAGGCATGCTGACCCCTCCAATCTATTGTCCATGTGTGCATTACATATGTCAGTGTGTATTATTTCATAAGGGGATGTAGTCATGCTGACCCCACATATCTGAATCTTTATAACACAGAGAAGTCTTTTATTCGGTGCAACTTCACCTATATAAAGTAGCATATAGATGGTTTCAGACCTAAGATGTTCTCCCTGAAGCAAACATCTTTGGTTTATAGTCCCCAATAATGGACCAATTTCATCATAGTCTAAGGAGAACAAAGCAGGACAAATGGGGGTTGCTTATCAAAGCAGAATGAACAATTCATTCACATTTTAAAATTTAAGGGGTTCTACCAATACTCACTGCTACAAACCAGGTTGTAAGGACATTTTGAATTTGTTATGGCTTAAATGGACACATTATCTTGGATTTTTTTGCATTTCATGTTGTAAAAAAACACATTTACAAAAGTTTTTTTTCTCTTTCTCACCAGAAGAACATTGGGCTAAAAGCAGGGGTGACCAGGTTGTCTCACTCACTTCTTACTTCTTCTCAGTTATCAAACTGGATCAGTGGAAGGATATCACTGCATATTTCACACAATTGTGAGACATCTACAGTCAGTTTAATTCGTAGGTTTCTTCACAAACAGGATGGGACATTTTTTCCGGTCTGTATCCATTGGATGACAATTAATTGGCTAAAGTTGGGTAAAAGAAAAAAGTAAAATAAGAAAATTACACTCACCCATAACTAAGAGTGGCCTGACGATGGATGTGAAATAACAACTGAATAAAGAAGAGATGCATATTTTTCCAACAGGTTAACAAGGAAAGACAAAATTAAGAAAATAATTTTTCCCTTTTAGAAGGATGTGTCCCACACAGAAAATGAATTTTTTGTGTAGATGAATGACAATCATGGACGTATCAAAGATATCCATGACTAAAAGAGTAAACGTTTCAGATTGACATGAACTTCATGGATTCGACAATGACAAAGATAACATTTTCCAGACTGGACAGATCCGACAGGCTCAGCACTTTCTAAGAGACTCCATTTTGATGTTGAGATTTAAAATTGGCCACCCTATCATTCATGGTTCACATAAAAAATAAGATTGAATCAATAAATTGAAGCATTTAAAACAAAATCTGTGTAAACAGAAATTTACTTATAAGAGAACAATGTCTATTAAGAAAAACATAAAGGGAAAATTATATTCAACATTTTGAACAAAATTTTTAGTTTAAAAAGTGAGAAGAATTATGTGATTTGAAAAATTAACTTTTGATTATTTGGTAAACATAACAAATACCAAATTGGGAAGCTCCAAATTTATAGTTACCAAATATCTATACCTGAAACATTAGAGTCGGACAAATAAATAAAATTACTCAGACAGGTAAAATTAGAGTCTTTTTAAAATACTCAAAACAAGTAAATGAATCAATGCTTTTGTGTGATGTTCTTGGAAAATATGTAAGTCAGATGGACTATTTTAAAATTTAAGATCAACTGATGTGAAAACATAAATTACTAAGAATAAGATTGTTTCTTTCTTGTACAAGAAAGAAACCCCTCACCCAGAGTCGGTCAGACTGAAGCTGTTGTTACATCCTGCTGCTTGCTAACATCAAAGTATGAATGAATGAGTGTGATTAGGAATGACTGATTTAATGTGAGGTGCCTCTGATGGCTTTGAAAAGCACTATATAAGTTGGACGTCATTTATTGTCTAACCCAGGAATGCTCAATACGTCGATCAGGAAGGTTTTGAGTCGATCTTGGCAGTAGGTGATAAACTGAACGCTGCCAGCAGGCTGAGACCAGCAGGACCTCTTCTGACACACTTGCCAAAATATTCATTATGATCCAAAACATTTGTAACTTTACTAAAGCGTAAAAAAAATCAACAAAACATGTTCAAATTAATGACCCAATAAAAATAATCTCAGTAATTATTGTTTCAACCAGGTGATGTGGCATTTTGTGTGTTTCAGTTCCATTACCTAAAAAAAAAGCGACTCAAAGACCAACTCTGTCAGGACTCTGGGTGTTTGGGTTTGGCTTTGCTTTTCATCTTCTTTATCATTATGTTTTAGTTTAGTTTAGTCCTTTATGGTCATTTTAGTTTGATTATTTGATGTATTTATATTGGCTAGATTTGTCTTGTTCTTGCTTTCCTTATTTCAGCCCCTCATAGTGTTTATGAATATCTGTGGCCTGTCATTGAACAGGCTCGCAAGGATGGGAAGAGGGCCTACTTTGTGGGTCATAAAGCTTATGTGGATGGAAAGGAAATTCGAAGGGCTTCTGGAGAATAATGTTTTTTACTCAGCAGTAAACACTACACTTTACAAATGGTTTAGCAAATTTTGATAGTGGCTTCAAATTTTATTTTAGGAGTCATCTTAAATGGGTGACGTTTTTTAAATTACTTTTCTTTAACTTTCAGAAAGCACGGAGCTACCATTTTTATCTGTTAATACATGGGGTCTGCGTAATGATATAAAATGTAAAGCATTTCTTCTTTTTTCCAAAGAGGCGAGAGTAGATTTTGTTTTTCTTCAGGAATGTCATTCATGCTTAGAAGATGAATCCTTTTGGACAATGGGGCAAAGATACATGGTTAGCACATGGTTCAAACAAGTCAGAGGCTGTAGCAATATTAAAAGATAACTTCAAAGGTAAAGTTTTAGATGTTACATCTGATAATAAGGGTCATTTGATTTTCATAGTGGTTGAATTTCACTCTTACATCTTTTTGCTGGGCAATATTTATGGATATAATTCTGATTCTTTAAATGTTATTTTCTTAAAAGAGCTGGAGGACGCCATGTTTTTTCTTGATACTAAGTTTCCATCAGCAAAGGTTATTTTAGGGGGAGATTTTAATATGGCCTTTTCCAATCAACTGGATAGGCACCCCTCTAGATTTAGAAACAGACAGAACCATCTTATGGACTTCTCTAACCGTATAAATTTATTAGACATCTGGAGACATCGTCATCCTACTGACATACAATACACCTGGAGTAACTAAAGCTTTTCAACTCAATCTAGAATTGACTTATGGCTTATTTCAGAGGACATGGAGAGTCAAGTAACGGAGGTTAAAATTTGCACTGCAATTTTAACTGATCACAAAACCATTTCTTTAAAAGTAAATCTTTCTAATAAGGAGTGTAGAAGAGTGTATAACCACTGGAAACTTAACTCATTATTAAATAACATAGAATTTACATTCAAAAACTAAACAGTGGACAATCGCTCAAAATAATAACCAATTTGGAAAATATTGGGAATTACTGAAGTATGAAATTAGAAGGTATGCAATTCAATTTAACAAAAGAATAAACCGCATAAAAAAAGAAAAGCTGGAGCAATTAATCAGGTCTATCTCAGACATTACTACTAACATGTTAGATGATGAAGTTGTTGTAAAACAACGACAGAAACATCAAGAAGAGTTAGACGAGATATATAAAGAAAAATAATGTGGCGCTTTTATTCGGTCTAGATTAAAATGGATTGAGGAGGGTGAAAAAAATAGCAAATACTTTTTTAACATGGAAAAAATAAATTTTGAAAGGAAATCAGTATCCAAATTAAATAATTCTGTAATACAAGATTATTCAGTAATTTCAAAATCTTTATAGAGATCTTTATAAAAATGATAACTGTATAAATAGCACAGATATATTAAACTCTTTAGTAGAAGTGAACAAAGCCAATGAATCTTTAAGAGGATTGTGATGAAATACTCTGTATTGAGGAGATAAAATGGTAATAATAAATAAAAGTCACCAGGCAAAGATGGTTTGACGTCAGAATTTTATCAGAAATTTTCGGCTGAACCTTCAGAATTTCTTCTCGTAGTTTATAATGAATCCATCAACAATGAAGAACTGCCCCCGTCAATGAAACAGGGTCTTATCACTTTGATCCCTAAACCAAATAAAGACAATTTAATAATAGATAATTGGCCTGGCATCACTCTATTAAATAATGACTATAAAATTTTGGCCTCCATTTTAGCTAAAAGACTGAAAATGGTTTAAATGATATTATACATGAATCTCAAAACGGCTTCATGCTTGGACGCAACATTTCTGATAATATTCGATTAGTGTTAGACTTAGTTGATACAAAGATCTTATCCCTGGTGACCCAATTATTCTGTTTTTAGATTATCAAAAGGCCTTTGATACGGTTAGTCACAACTTCATTTTTGACACATTGTCCTTTTTAACTTTGGTAACTTTTTCATTAAAGCCTTTAAGACACTTTATAGAGATAATAACAGTTCTATAAAACTTCTAGCCGATTTAATATCCATAAAGAGGTTCGTCAGGGCTGTCCGGCCTCCCCTTACATTTTTCTGCTTGTTGGCCAAATTTTAAACTGTTTAATTAGACAGAGCTCATTTGAGGGAATTAAAATATTTGATTGAGAACTTAAAATTTCACAACTTGCTGACGATACTACAGTGTTTTTAAGAAATTCTAATGAAATTCCTGTAGCTCTTTCTGTTATAACTAAATTCTCTAACATTTCAGGGTTGAAACTCAGTCTAAAAATTGTGAAATCCTTCCCTTATATACAACTGCTGTTACTGAAAAGTGTAATATCTATGTAAAAAACGCCATAACTTACTTAGGAATTAAAATATCCACTCACCACACCAACATGGGTAATTTTACTGTTTGTGAATCTATTAAAAAGAAATTTAACAGTTGGTTAGCTA